TAAACAACAATTTTTTTCAATAACGCAAAAACTTATTAATTAATATAAGCATACATCTCGAGAAAAAATTGTTCCTCGCTAGATGTTTTTGTTATTATAACGAGTAGTACGAATCAATAATATTTTATAATTGAAAAATATAGAGCGAAGAATAGAGAGTAATAGAGGAGAAAGTAATTATTATTATTGCTCGTAGATAAAGCGAAAAACAAATATCGATTATACATATTATAAATTTTTATCGTAATTAGTTTTTATCGTAATTAGTGGTTTATTGCAATCGTTAACTCTCGTTTCTGTTCTCCCCTATTTATATTAAATAGCTAACATTAATTTTTAATGATCGAAAGCTACAAATATATATTTCGTAATTAAAATAATAATTTTAATCATTTATCCACTACGGACAACAAGATAAATTGTTGAGATTAAATGGAAAGTTTTTCAAAATCGATAAAATAATCATTCGACGAAAAAATGAAACAAGTTGATATTATAATCGGAAAAAGTGAATTAAAGAAGCGTACGAAATGTTTGAGAAAGAAGGGATAGTGCGTGGAATTCAATTTGGCATTCGCCGGCGAGTGTGTGTTTTGATTTAAGTCGATCCAAAGTCGACATCGTGGCGGCTGCGTGTTCGGAAGCAATAGATTTCGTGATATCAGCCCGTCACTCTTCCGGTTCGGATAACGAATCTCGCTCATAAATCCGTCTCTGTTCACGGTCGCCTGGAAATTAATGCTTAAATCCGGAAAGATAAAAGTATCTGCGTGAACTGCATTAAATTAACATTCTGAATCCAGTTCCATCGTCCCCTCCCCGATTTCCGCTCCGAGTTCTTTCGCAATTTTTCAACTGTTTCCTGTTCTTTCGAAGAAACTTCTCGTTGCTCAGTTTTTCCGAGAAATATCCTCCTTCCTTATCACCGTTCAATTTTTAACTTTCAAAATCGATACAATCGATAAATCGAATCGATAATACGATCTCGGTTTGCGAATTATTTTATTTTCTCAAATTTTCCCACCGGTCTTTTTTCCACGCAATCGGGAAATCCATTTCAATCTTTCCGACAGATTTCTCTTTCTCGTCGATCGATTCTACGAATCTTGTTGCACCGTGGGAATAGAAAACCCGCGCTTACCATTATCTTAACAATGCCGTTATTGCATCTCTTTAAATCACTACTTCCGCCAAATTTCTAACAATCCCTTTTATCCCGATTCCCACAAAAAAAAAAAAATAAAAAAACGTTCTTTTCTTCGTCACTTGTATATTATTCTCTACATATATCCCATAAATAAACGTTACCCATTTTGTACGAGTCTGAACAAGTCGATCGAGTCGAAAGAGCCAAGTTCGAAACGAACTCTTTCTTCTTCTTCTCCTCGTCTTCGTTTTATTCCTTTCCTTAAAATCGTCCTCTTACATTTTTTCTCTTTTACACTTGGTCCGAGCACTAACGAAGAAGGAAGTAGCGCGACGCGATACGACGAAGAAGTCGACTTCCGGTGGCGCGTCGACTACGATCGTCATCGAACGCGCGATGATGCATCGAATTCGTCGATGCGGCTGCCGGTGACGGCCAATTAAATTAATCACTTCGCAGAAGTAATAGACATACGCGCGACAAGTGGGGGTTGAGTGGGAAGGGGGAGGCATAAAACAACCGACAGAAACGTCACGACGCGGTACACCATGACCATCTACAGTTGTTCGTCGTCGTCGGATGTCACACGGTAATTGCGATTTATTTCTCTTAATCGCGCTTAAACGGCAACCAATTTATGCCGCTCGAGTTAATTTTACGCAATTATATAATTACCAGTGGACTCGCGGCACGGCCTAATCCGAGTGTCAAGGGGCGTTCTAATGGCGGTCAATTTCCAATTCGAAGATCAACCGCGCGTTGATTCTCCCTGTCGAAACTTATCCTTTCGAAAATTATTCTCGCCTATCCCCCGCTTTTCCAATCGTTCAACGTGAAATTTAATATCCCATTTGATAAAGAAAAAGGTGCAATTTTCAATAAATTCACTTTTACGAGATAAAAGTGAAATCGATTTTGGACACGCGTTTATCATCAACGGAAATTTTTTTTCTTTCGGTAGCACAGATCGATATACGATGTTTACGATGCGATCTCTTTCTAAATATTCTTCGATAAATTTTAAAGGATAACGACGAGAGCAAAAGCAGAAAAAGTTGGTCACCGTCGATTCCCTGGAGCACGAAATCTCTCGAAATCCTTCAAATCGCCCTTCATGTATTTTAACCAAATTCTGAAAAATCTGGTCGATGACGATCAACAACGTGGTTTTTTATTTTCCCGAATCGTGGAATCGATATACATTCGGGGGCCAACAAGAGAACGAACAAGTCGCAAGTTCTTCCTTATTTATTCATTAATTTCGAGAATCGATGTTCGACGACACGGTCGCTGCTACTTGGAAGGTAGCGAGCGTGCACAGGGCCCTTACGGTAGCACACGCCAGTTAGAATAGTGAGCGTTGCCGGCATTCCGCCGAGTAAATTCTTGAAAACTCGTTTGGTCGGTCCGATCCGCGAACCAACTCTCAATCTGCACGCCCATACACCAACCCGTGCGCGTGCGAATGTAAGCGTTTCCTAAATTGGCCCTAAATCTCACCGCATACGTTCCTCCCAATTCTTCTAGCAGGTGAGGTCAAAAATTTTTCTCGCCATCTATCCCTACGCGACGCGATCAAATTTTCTACTATTTTCTTAACGGATTATTTTCTATCGACTTATCAAAATTCGAATATACTCCGTATATATCCTTCCATATCTCGAATAATCTGATTTTAACTTGAAATCTTTAATTATTACAACAACTATGCAACCGATTCGAAACACGTCTACCGTGCACCTTGTCTCAACTTCCTATCGATAATTTCAAATTCAAACGGTAAAAGATAAGCTTGATTATAAGAGTGAGTGGGTGGAATAAGAAAACGTGCATAGATTTCTTTCAGTTCGATCAATTCTTCGAATTGAAATAGACAAAATGGCTACCGAAAGAGAATCGAAGACACGGCGTATCGAATCCGTGACATCGAGAGGGATGAGAATGTCAAAGCGAAGCTCTAGTATCGATTTTCGTCGCTTGAATTCACCATACATCAAACTACGGCACACCGCCATCATTCTCCCTTTTGCTTTCCCCTTATCGTTTCTTATATCGAGCTATTTTAACACCAACGTACAAATAAAATACTTTTTAAATCTAACAAATGTTTCTCGTATTTACACGAAACTGATTATAATAAGATCAATAGACACAATTTGAACAGATATCTCGAAAATTATAGTTACGGTTAAAAGAATAGCGGACGAATTTTAACCATATTTTTTAAACGATCAACGAGAAAATTCCACATATTTTTTAAATAAATTCCTTTTACGAGGAATTACGAACTACGAGATATTCTAAATACGATACATTTAAATTTCCCGATAGCTAAAATTTGGCAAAAATAATTTAATAAACTGAGAAAATAACGATAACTTACGTCGAATCGCTAGCTATCAATCTCGTCAAAATATTTTAAACGTCCGATACAAATGAAAAAAATGAGAAAAAAAAAAAAAAAAAGAAAAAAAACGATTTTAAAATGCAAGGAAGATCAAATTTTCCATTATCCGTAAGTCATCACCAAAGACATCACCTTCGAAAGCAACGAATACGAATCTTTGAGATGGTGCACGGCGCGTGATAAAAATAAAGCTCGAACGAAGACGCGGAAATCGTCGAATGATAGAGCATCGCGTCGAAAGTTACGGAAATCGCGTGACTGGCTGCCGAGGTAAAACGGAAGGCGTGTTGGTTGCAACGACGTGCAGACAGATGGGAGTGGTCTCCGCAATCACGATGGGCGTGGTGCTTTCACGACGTGTTGCAGCTGCAACTCGCCTCTTCGTACGTTGCACTTAAACGCGTTGGACGAATCGCACGATACAAATTTCGTTCGTCAAACTTCGCTTTCTTCTTTCCCAAACGTATTTTTCTTCTTTTTTCTTTTCTTTTTTTTTTTTTTTTTTCCAAAATCGTCGATCGTCGTGTCACCTATTAACATCCCCATAATAAAACACCGGTAAAAATCTTCCGTTTGCGATCTAACTTTTCGAGATACACGATCCCTTAGAAGGCGGTGGACAGTGACGAGGACACGAAAGAAAAAAAAAAAAGAAAAAAAAAGAAAAAAGAGGAGGACGCGATGGGTCGCGATATAGGGAAGGATGAGCGGGCTTTTTACCCACGATTTACATGATAAATCTCTTTGGAGGAGGATCGACTCGACATCAAAGTTGGAAGGCCGAGGAGTGCAGCGGGTTTGTTTGCGGCGGGCAGCGGAGAGGGAACGGAGGCGGAATGGCGCGCAGGTAGCGCGCAAGAAAGGTCGGTCGGCCCCTCAGATGCTCGCAATTAATAAGAGCTTAATGGGGGCCGATATAGCGGTGCCACGCTCTCGGGACTCGTGCTTTCTTCGTTGTTCTCCCACCGAAATCATCGATGCCGACGACAAAAAGCCACGGCATGGCCGTAAAACATTTCGCTCTCCCTCCTCCCCCCTTCGACTCTGCTCCAACATATCCAAGACGCGTCGCCGCAAAAAGAGCCGCGCCGTTTTCATTCTCGCAGTCCAACTTCCAGTTATATAAGAGTCGGGGAAAGCCTCTCGTTTCTCGCGAGAACATTAGAAACCAAGCGTGAACCAAGCGAATTTCGATACGTTCGATTTCGAGGGAAATTCGTCGACGAGGCGAACGAATTGAAAAAAATCGGTAGTAACGCGTTTCAATTTTTCATCTTTGTTCAATTTTTGATTGAATGAGTGAAAAAAGCCAAACGAATAAACTATCGAGTATGTAACGGAGGGGGGAGGGGGGGGGGAAGAAAGAAACTCTTCACCATATCCTCGACTCGTCGTTGAATTCTCGAGACGAAAAGATTCGTATGAAATTCGTGCGACTCGACTCACCAGAGAGGGGTGCGTAATAGCCGTGCGGGTAAGAGGGTGCGGAGGAAGCGTCGACGAACGACTGCGACGGCGTGGCCGACGGCCAGTCCTTGTAGGAGGCCGCGGAGTGCGCGTGGTGCGCCGCATGGTGGCCGAGTCCTCGCGCACCACCCAAAAGCAAACCGCCGTAACTCGTCACGGTCGCCATGTTATGGTGATGGTACTCGTGCACAGCCCTGCAAAAATAGATAGCCGCGTGAGACGAAAGGAAACGAAACGAAACGAAACGAAACAATCGAGGAGAACCGATGAAAGTGAGGGGAAAGGGTAAGGAAGAAGAAAAAAAAAGAGATTAAAAAAAAAAGATGGCGCGAGATGGGGGGAGAGAAAGAATTCTCGATATCGTGCCTCTTCTCAAGAACGGTGACAGACTGGTAATTTATACGGCGACCAACGCGAGATCAGCGCTAAAGATCTCTCGAAGCAGGGGTACCTGCTCCCGACGGTTTTCTGTATTTTTCACGTCTCGTTTTCTCTTTGCCTTCTCCTCCGGTTCCCTTTCTCTCCCCTCTCTCTCTCTCTCTCTCTCT